GCTGCCTGTTTAGTCTCTTGTATCTACTTGAGCTAAGAGGCACACTCCTCACGAGCATCACTTTATGTCCCACAGTCCAGTCCAATCCCTGTCTGAAGGGTTGGCCTTGGAAATTGTTTTAGTTTTGGGCTAACAGAGAGCCCGGGGGCCATGTCTTCCAGGGACCCTCCAGTCTCAAACCATTAAGTCTGGTCTTTTTACTAGAATTTGAGTTCTGCACCCCACTTTTCTCCTGCTCTGTCAGGGACTCTCTGTTGTGTTCCCTGTCAGGGCAGTCATTGTGGTAGCTGGGCACCATCCAGTTCTTCTGGTCTCAGGCTGATGAAGTCTCTGGTTTATGTGGCCCTTTCTGTCTCTTGTGGGCCCCCTAATTTTTAAGAGTTGTCAAGAGGGTCCTCTGGCCTGAGCCCATGTAGAGATTGCCTTACTCATCCATCAGTTTGTCATACTGTGGTGGCTTGAGTGTTGCTGTGACACCAGAAGATATGCCACCGGTATTTCACATACCAGCAGGGTCACCTATGGTAGACAGGTTTCAGTGGAACCTCCAGACTAAGACAGACTGGGAAGAGGGATGTGGGGCTCTTAGAGCTGAACAGAAGATTACAAAGGTGGTTCAAGAAGACAAAGTGAAGTATTATAATGAAATGTGCAAAGACCTGGAGTTACAAAACCAAAAGGGAAGAACACACTCAACATTTCTCAAGCTGAAAGAACTAAAGAAAAAAATTCAAGCCTCAAGTTACAATATTGAGGGATTCTATTGGCAAAATATTGAATGACACAGGCGGCATCAAAAGAAGATGGAAGGAATACACAGAGTCACTGTACCAAAAAAAAAAAAAAATTGGTCGATGTTCAGCCATTTCAGGAGGTAGCATATGATCAAGAACCTATGGTACTGAAGGAAGAAGTCCAAGCTGCACTGAAGGCACTGGCAAAAAACAAGGCTCCAGGAATTGATGAAATACCAATTGAGACATTTCAACAAATGGATGCAACACTGGAAGTGCTCACTCATCTATACCAAGAAATTTGGAAGACAGCTACCAGCCAAACAACTGGAAGAGATCCATATTTGTGCCTATTCCAAAGAAAGGTGATCCAATGGAATGCAGAAATTATTGAACAATATCATTAATATCACACGCAAGTAAAATTATGCTAAAGATAATTCAAAAATGATTGCAGCAATACATCAACAAGGAACTGCCAGAAATTCAAGCTAGATTCAGAAGAGGACGTGGAACGAGGGATGTCACTACTGATGTCAGATGGATCCTGGCTGAAAGCAGAGAATACCAGAAGGATGTTTACCTGTGTTTTATAGACTATGCAAAGCCATTCGACTGTGTGGATCATAGCAAATTATGGATAACATTGTGAAGAATGGAAATTCCAGAACACTTAATTGTGCTCATGAAGAACCTGCGCACAGACTAAGAGGCAGTCATTCTAGCAGAACAAGGGAATACTGCGTGGTTTAAAATCAGGAAACGTGTGAGTCATGGTTGTATCCTTTCACCATACTTATTCAATCTGTATGCTGAGCAAATAATCCGAGAAACTGGGCTATAAGAAGAAAATGGCATCAGGATTGGAGGAAGAATCACTACAACCTGCAATATGCAGATGACACAACCTTGCTTGCTGAAAGTGAAGAGGACTTATAGCACTTACTTATGAATATCAAAGACTACAGCCTTCGGTATGGATTACACGTCAACATAAAGAAAACAAAAATCCTCAGGACTGGACCAATAAGCAACACCATGATAAAAGCAGAAAAGACTGAAGCAGTCAAGGATTTCATTTTACTTGGATCCACAGTCAACGCCCATGGAAGCAGCAGTCAAGAAATCAAACGACATATTACATGGACAAATCTACTGCAAAAGACTTCTTTCAAGTGTTAGAAAGTGAAGATTTCACCTTGAGGACTAAGATGTGCCTGATCAAGCCATGGTGGGTTTTTTTTTTTTTAATTGTTGTGCTTTAAGTGAAAGTTTACAATTCAAGTTAGTCTCTCATACAAAAATTTGTACATACATTGTTATGTGCCCCTTGTTGCTCTCCCTGTACTGTGACAGCACACTCCTCCTTTCCACCCCAGATTTCCCGTGTCCATTCAACCAGCTCCTGGCCCTCTCTGCCTTCTCATCTCCTCTCTGAACAGGAGCTGTCCGTTTAGTCTCATGTATCTACTTGAGCTAAGAAGCACACTCTTCACGAGTATCATTTTATGTCCCGTAGTCCAGTCTAATCTTTGTCTGAAGAGTTGACCTTGGGAGTGCTTTTAGTTTTGGGCTAACCTAGAGTCAGGGGCCATGTCTCCCGGGGTCCCTCCAGTCTCAATCAAACCATTAAGTCTGGTCTTTTTACTAGAATTTGAGTTATGCAACCCACTTTTCTCCTGCTCCATCAGTGACTCTCTGTTGTGTTCCCTGTCAGGGTGGTCACTGGTGGTAGCTGGGTACCATCTAGTTCTTCTAGTCTCAGGCTGATGAAGTCTCTGGTTTATGTGTCCCTTTCTGTCTCTTGGGCTAATACTTTCCTTGTGTCATTGGTGTTCTTCATTCTCCTTTACTCCAGGTGGGTTGGCACCAATGGATGCATCTTAAATGGCCACTCACTAGCTTTTAAGACCTCAGACGCCCAGAAGAACTAGATGGTGCCCACCTACCACCAATGACCGCCCTGACAGGGAACACAACAGAGAGTCCCTGATGGAGCAGCAGAAAGATGGGGTGCAGAACTCAAATTCTAGTAAGAAAACCAGACTTAATGGTCTGACTGAGACTGGAGGTACCCCGGAAAGCATGGCCCCTGGATTCTCTATCAGCCCAGAACTAAAACAATTTCCAAGGCCAACTCTTCAGACAGGGATTGGTCTGGACTGTGGGACATAAAGTAATACTCGTGAGGAGTGTGCCTCTTAGCTCAAATAGATATAAGAGACCAAAGGGGCAGCTTCTGTCCAGAGGTGAGATGGGAAGGCAGAGAGGGTTAGGAGCTGGTTGAATGAACATGGGGAATTAGGGACGGAAGGGAAGAGTGTGCTGTTGCAGAATGGGGTGAGCAATTAGGGTCACATAACAATGTATGTATAAAATTTTGTATGGGAGACTAACTTGAATGTAAACTTCATTTAAACTAC